TATTGTAGCAAGTTACAATAAATTGCTAATTTTAAAACACTCCGGCACGCTTTTCCTTTCAGTACACTGCTTTACGCAGAAAAATACAAGCCACGCGTGATGCGAGCTGTCGGGGCATCCGTCCCGTGACAATTACCGTGCACATGCTGACGCAAAATTTTAACCGCGGTGTTGGCGACCGTGTGCCTACAGCGCGAGATCGTCCTGGCCTTCTCTCCGGACATTCGCCCACACCCGGTACACTCTTGTACATACACTAGCAGTCTTCGCGATGCAACTGAATGAGAACGCGGCCGCAGATGGGGCCGCGTTATTAAATAGTTGAGGCTGACACCCACACTGTTCCATAGATAGGCTCGCTGGCAGAGCTTGGTTTACGCCCACACACAGGATTCTCAGGTTGGCTCGCCTAGCTTAACTATAAGCGAGGCTCGCTGGTAGCATCCTCGGATTTTAACAGCCACGGTATTTTTGGCTCTGGCGGCTCTACTGAGTCAACGCCAGAGCGGCAAACTCTCCCCCGCAGCGTACTTTCACCGACCTAACGGTTCTGGCCCTCGTGTTAACGACGCCACAATATACTATGGTTTCGAACAACTCAAAGGCCAAAGATTGGTGGATTTGAATTATTTGAAGTTAAGATGGCAACCAATGAAATCATCAGGAACCGCTCATGTTGGTCCGTAATTTGGTGAATACTTTTCGTTTCAAAGTTGTGGAATTTTGTTTCATTGGGGATGTTATTTGGGTAAATTCCGTAAGTGGTGGAGAAAGGACTCGCAACACATCTGGCAACCGTGCACAGCATTCAGTCGCATGCTCAATCACGTTCCAACGCACTCGCAACCAGAGTACGCACCCAGTAAGAACAAGAGGCCCCACGGAAACTTCAGCACCACCTCCTTCCAAACCAGAATCGGGTTTTCCTGTCGAGTTGGTCTTTTCTCCGCTGTGAAAAACAAAAAACCAATTACTTTCAAACATCAACAACATAAACGCTGATCATACGAATATTAGATATTCCTAAGCAATAAAACTTGGTAGCAGCATACAGAATGACAACTTAATGAAGTAACCATACCACAAGTCTCATTTACCCAAAATACAATGAGACAAATTTTTCAATCTCGAAAAAAATGTATTTTTTCTTAGTAAATCTGATTGAAGTCGATTTGGTACTTGTTCCTCAGCCCTCTCTCTCCCAAGACGCAAACCTCCTCCACAACCAAATGAACGAACACTCCGAAAACACCTGGAGAAAGACTCCACCAGCACTGCTTTGTCTTGGCAAATATTGATTTGGATTTTTTGCCAACTTTTAACGTGCCATAGTACCTGAATTTATTGTATGATAAAATATAAGTGAACAATGTTTACTTAGGGAGAAAGAGAGAGAGGTAGAAAAAGAGACAGAGAGGGAAAGAGAGGAAGGGAAACAGAAAGAGGAAGAGAGAGAGAGAGGGAAAGAGAGAGGTGGGAAGAGAGGGAGAGAGAGGGAGACAGAAGTAAAGAGAGGGAGCGAGAGGAAGAGAGAAAGGGAAAGGGAGAGAGACAGTGGGGAGAGAGGGAGAGAGAGCAAGAGGGAGGGAGAGAGAGGGAGAGAAAGAGAAAGAGAAAGGGAGAGATGGTGAGGGATACAGAGGGAGAAATAGGGAGGGAGAGAGACAGGGAGAGAGTCAGGGAGAAAGACAGGGAGAGAGTTAGGGAGAGAGACAGGGAGATAGGGAGAGGGGAAGATAGATGGAGAGAGAAAGGGAGAGGGAGGGAGAGAGAGACACACATACATACAGACAGTAGCAAATTTCATGTAATTTATTTTTGTGTAAGATTATCCACAAAAGAGCGCAGTTTTCACAGAGAGCGCAGTAATAACCAAACTAAAAAAGAACATTTTTTATCAGTGTTAAGCAAGTAAGTGGGGCGCTTACGGTCGCGACTGAGGCAGTAGAACAGCGACGGCGTCGCCGGGAGGGCGAACAAAACCAGCGACACCACCACCCCCGGTGTGGCCGAGCTGATCTTCCTGCAACGGCACACGCAATGACACTCACGCGTTCACATTCAGCCTCTTCAAGTAATATTCCCTTCAAAACCAAAGGTTCCTTTAATTACAACCGAAGTCACCAGATAAAATTCAAAATTACTACATAGAGAAATTTACAAGCATTTACATTACATACAGAAATTAAAAAAAAAAAGTGTTCAATATCAGTGTCTATCAAAAAAAAATTCTAATTCATTTGGTTTATAACTTTCAAATTCAAATTTCTGCCTTATTACAAATATTTAAATATATCAGAACCAAAACTTCAATATAACCGATATATCCACAAATATGTGTGTATAAAATACTACATAATATAAATGAAAATTATTATTTGAATGGGTATTCAAGAAAGTAATTCCTATTTGTCAAGTGTGAAAACAGGGGCGGATCCAGAGACGAATTTTGGGGGGAGTAACTTAAAATGTTTTCGCCAAATATGTAAATTACAGATTTTGTAAAACGTTGCAGACTACACTCAGCTCATGCTGCGATACGATTTGATTAGTTATAATGATAATCTGAACATTTTTTTGGACAAATATTTCGTGACAAGTTAAAATTAATAGTTACTGAAAAATTTTAGGGGGGTGATTTCCCTCATCCCTCCCCCTTGGATCCGCGCCTGGTGAAAAATATGTGTGCCGTAGAGAGAATGAAAAAAACTCACTTACATGCTACTTATCGCGGGACCCCAGCCAGACATCCAGCTGGGATCGCATGTGATCCACAAAATGACAGCGATGATGAACCAAGAGAGCACCCACCATTCCGCCCAAGTCGTGGGGCCGAGTTCTTCATACTTCTGTCTAATAACTTCACGAGCTAAAATTGCAGCTTCCTTCGCTCGCTCCTTGCTGCCCGCTTTGTCCTCATCGTTCTTGCTAGATTTTCTGAGGAAATGAAGTAACATTTTTATAACATTTTCAGAGAATGGAAGCGAATTATGTATTATACTAGTTGTGCATGGACGAACTTTTCTCACGTTGTATAGCCCGGTTCTGAACTCAAGAGTTCGGAATGCTAATAAAATTAGGATGGTGAAAAGCCCTCACAGACAACTTATTCCGCACTGATACACATTTGAAAGGGACAATAGTACTCATTACTTCTCTACGGAATCCCCTTTCATGTTCAAACATTTGTTACATCGACAGTCCAAGGCAGCGATGTTGGTTCGCCAGAACTCGGGTTGAAGCCTGTGAAGTAAAGAAGTCCGGAAGTACTTGTCCAGTGATCCGATGAAGCGTCGATCGCGAGATGCGCGTCGGGGCTGGGGCGGCCACAAATCAAGTTGCATCTCGCAAGCCTTCCTGCAAACCCGCAACTGACCGCAGAGAGCGGTGTGCGTGAGTTCGTGCATGTGTGAGTGCGTATGTGAGCATGCGCTCAAAATTTTTTATCTAAGGCAAAGAATAGTGAATATTTAGTCAGGTATGCCTTTGTTTTCTCAGTAGACAGGACAAGTTCCTCGACATGGAATGGCCCTATTTATTTTCGGAGTTACTTAGAGGTCAAACATTCAACGTAAGTTTGCTTATCTACTAAATAAAATATCATTTTTTGTGCCTAATTGCTTCATTAGTACCATCCAGTCTCACTAGATTTTATGACGCTTTCAATGTAATTTTTATGGTCTACAGCAACAAAATAACATTACAGTGTATCTTTTGATTTGAAAAATACTTGCTCCCTGCTAATTTGCTCCCTCTAGATTTGATAACATTTATTATAAAGAAATGATATTTTTTGACAAGATTTTAAAATGTTTGTTTAGACTATATCATATTTCCATATCCATAGAAATCAATGTCGTTTGTTCAAATTATAGTGCATTTATGGAGCAAATGCTGTGAAATCTCATCAACAAACTGGACCAAATGAATGCCACAATAAGGACGGAGGGTTAATAAAATGGGCGCAGCGCAAAAGCCCTGCGCCGTGATCGCGAATTGGGAGAGGGCGCCATCATTTACACAGATAAACTTTCTTAGTTACCGGCGCTCATTTATTGTATACTCGTAATATAATAAGTTTGAACATTTAAAATATTTTTTAAAAAAATGCAATAGTGCAAACAATGTTTAATCCTCAACTTCGACGGGAGGAGCTCAAAATAATTGTTGAACTCGAAGGCCGAAAACCCAAAGGCCAAGGCTGTTATTATCTGTTAAGCTTTAGTTACGAAATACGCACAGTTTTAGCCCAAGATACTGCCATGACAAAGCGCCCCACGTGAGGAAGGTCATGAGCAGCATGCACGGCGCCATCGCTGCCATCCAGTCCGCGAAATCAATTTCTGGACCCCCGGGAAACTTCCTGCGCAGACGAGCGTTCCGACGCGCAAGACAATGCGCAAGCAATTAACAAAAGCCAATGAAGGGAGTTACTGGAAACATAAAAGCAGAGGAATACATGATTATTTCTGTATGCACTAGTACCAAATACTATGTAGGCACTTTCAACCTTGCTCGAATCGGCGACTAATTCAAATTTCAAAACATATACAATAATTTTTTTATCACTCTGCGAAACGTAAGTAAACAAAAAAATTTTTTTAAACTTATACACCTCGTACTTGATGTCATAATGGTTATAAACGTCAGGCCACTAGGGTCGATAGCTTCAAGTGTCTCACGGTATCGTCGAGTATGCTGTAGCATTTGCTAGTACCAATACGTTGACATTGCAAACATATCTTTCGAACGACATTATTGCCTGGTTAGAGGTTTCCATTAAAGTATTTTTTTAATAGACGTTTTAGGGTTCATTGTTTTGATAGGGCGGTTCGTCGAGTTTTTTAAATGTTAATTTTTTTAGAAATATCTATTGTGTATCGCAAACACAAAAACAGTTCCCTATGATTATTCAAATAGAATTAAGCGTAGAAAACACTTATCATTTGAATCATTTCCCACGATTAAAATTGCGCGGTTATTTGTCACAAAGATTAGTAAAAAGTCTACACATTTTATTAAAAAGAGAGAATCACAGTAATAAACAAGTAATTGAAACAACGCTTTCGGTTGAAGGAAAGTCTCATTAAATTTCATTAAGTTTCATGATCTATTTTTCTGTCAATAGATTGAATGAGAAAAAGATCTCTCTTGCTGTTCGTAAAGAGTTTAGGCGCTAGCGTTGACCACAGATGGACAGGCGGGCGGAGGCACGGACAGAGACACAAACAAACGATTTGCAATTTTCGAAAAGATAGCCGAAAATGGGACTAGCAGCATATTTCTACTGCCTCTTATTACATTTGACATTAATTTTTTAATTGAGTGGCTTTTTAGAAAAAATAAAATTTGTTCATCTTGTCTCTATCTATCTTGCAAACTTTCCCGAACACTACTCACATTTTACTCATATTCACAACCCTACTATTCACTACTCGAATTCCCAACACTCGCAGATTATCTCTTTGCTTATATATATATATATATATATATATATATATATATATATATAATCATAAATGCATTAATACAGTTAATAAATGCATTCAGTTGCGTGAATAATTGACTGAACCTGTATAATTTCAATAATACGCGAAATTCATAAAGTTAGGATGCAGCTAGTGTCATACGAAGACAAAAATTGGTAGCCCTCGAACGTCAGGCCGAGCTCGGCAACCAGCCCCTACCCACCCACGGAAGGAGATTGTTCCATGCCCCACGCATTTGTGCTGTAAGTTAGTGCATGCTTAGTGCACCGAAGGCTGTATGTTGAAGGATATGGCCAAGGAGTACGAGCAGTGAGCGTTCTTAGATTTCAAAACGATTTCATACACATCGATATTGCTTCAGTATCTTGAATATTGTGTATCATTGAAACGAAAATGTATAATCCTAACATAGGAAATATTTTTCGTCTATCTTGGGATTGTGCAACCGTGCTATCTTACGCAGAAGCCGAAACTGGTGTCTAGGAATACGGGCGGATGATAAAACAGAGAGTAGAAATGAATTATTCTGCGCGGTCCGTGGCTCATTTGTTAGGTTGCTGCTCCGGCATTCGCTTGGAGTTGGAAAAAAAAGACAAAAAAGGAACTTCGGGCAACTACCAACGAGAGCAGTCGGCCACTGACTGAATTCGACCTGGTTCTCCAGCTAGTGTCGACTCGCGGGCAGAACTTACTCTTCAAAGATGCCCTTCACCGTGAGGTTGGTGCCAGTGCCGATGATCGTCCCGGTGCCGCCGATCGTCGCCGCGTACGCGATCCCGAAGAAATAGCAGCGCGTCGTGCGCGTGGGGTACGGGTTCCTGCGCAAACAGACACATCGTCTCACTCCACAACGCCAAAGAATACACAAACATTAAAGGCTTCTCCAAAAAGCATGGTGTACTACACACAGCACAAACGGTTAATAGTTATAAACTTTGTAAGTCGCACAGGAATTCTTCAAAGAAAACTTTCACGAATTTAATAGTCATGACGGATTGCTATATTTAGTAACTCGGTATTTGTTAAATGTCGTTAGTAATTTATCTAATAAGGAAAAATAGGGTTTATTTTGTGTAGTTCTTTAATGATTGAGAGTGTAAATAAACAAGTTACAAATTTGAGAATCGATTTATTTTTAACTTGAACTGCAAACGGAAGCCGAAGAGTGATCCCTCCCCTCTGGCGAGGGAAGATCGTCCCCAAGCAAGCAACGACAGTCATTCTTCCCATTCAATCGCCTTCACATAGTTAAGGGATTGAGGGTAGACTTCACACAGTACTTTGTGTCAAGTGTGTTTTTCTCCGCTTCGCAACGAGATAATGCAAATTCTACTCAGCTCTTTTTCCTCGTCGTTTCTGGGGGGGAAGAAGACGGGTTCGTAGCCACTCTGCAATCAGAATGCAAATAACTGTATTCAATTTTTTTTAATTAAAAAAATCATCCCCACAGATATATTTTCAAAAGATTTCATTTTATAATTTATAATTAATACACGTTTGATAAGATAGCTATATATATATATGTCGAAAACTGCAAAGCGCTACAGATTCAATGTGTTGACTTGTTAGCATAAATTACCCCTTCTAGTTCTTGCAGCACCGCCAGAGCGACCGGGGCCATCATAGCCGTCGCTGCCGTGTTGATTATCCACATGGACACAAACATTGTTACAGCCATGAATCCAAAGGTTAACCTGTGGTGGACATAGGATTAATGCATATTTTCTTCAGGATACACACTAAAAGTACGTCAGCCCTGTGGGTGAGTGTGTGTGCAAGGAACAAAGAAATGACATTCAATACAACGCTATCTCAGGCATAATTGAGATGTAAAGGCATATTTTGGTACGCCATAGGATTACTTAGAAAGCTCTTTTTGCCAAATTTGATAGTAATTGATTTGCGGAAAGAAAATGGACTCATGCGCGGCATATTTTTAGCAAAAGAAACAAGAAATCATTCGTTCTTAATGCATCTGAAAGAGGAAGATAAAAATATTATATTTTTATTTTATAAGTCCATGTTGGCAATTTGAGAACGCTTTGTATATACTGAGAAAGGATCCATTCTTACGTAAAAATGTCTAATATTTTGGAAAAAACCGACGAAAGAGAAATAGACCGATAATTGTGAGTTTCAATTTGTTGCTTTATTTTGAAGATTGGTTTAATCCGAGCTGTTTTGAAAATTTTGTGGAAAGTATCAGGTTCCTAAGAATACATTAAATGTGTAAAAGGTAACGGGTAAAAGGTAAATGTGTTAAAACAGTAAAGGGGGCATAATATCGGGTGCACGAGTCCTTAACAAAAAATTTAAGTCTTCACCTCAAATGTGTAGTTCCGATGATGAGAATTGTCCTCAGAGCAATGCGGCGATGAAGATTGCTTGATTCAACGGCAAATGCTAAGAATATTGAACACAAAAACATCGCCGTCGTATTGTTCAGGTAGGTAGAGCAAGTGGGCTTCGTAGGGAGAATCCCCAGAATGGGAAACAACGCAATAGGAAGGAGTCCTGTTACTCCCAAGGGCAGAACTTCACACACCCAATAAATAGCCATTACCATCACCACGAACAAGCATCTGAACTCCTAGAACAGTGTTCAAAACACTTAGCAAGCGATCATCTTACACATTTAATAAATAAATTAATATCTGTTTTATATATTCTTATGCCCTACGATATATTATTTACAACTCAACAGCTTATTTGCTGTTCCTTGTTTGGGCTTCAGATTAACCCATTATCAGCTGGTCTTTGGAATACTGGACTGTTTTTGCTTGGTCATTGTCCAATTATACTTTTGCATGTCTCAGAAAATAAACATGATTCTAACAAATTTACAAACTAAAACATACGTGTCAAATCTTTTGAAAACAACTTGCAACAGGGAAAACATACATGTTTAAGAAAGCAAAATTATTAAAACCTATTTTCAGCAACCGACTGATAAAATAATTAGAAAATAATAAAATTTCTTCTGTCTAAAAATTTTAAAGGGACCGGTTTGTTTAGAGAAAGGAAAATAAGATAGCTATATCGCAATATTTCTGAGTTTACATGCTGGCCCACATATTACTGCATATATTATATTTCATGCTTATGAACTGAGAAACGCGAAATGAGTGAAATTCTTCCTATAGCGCAATCATAAATATCTAAACTACGGCACGGCATGATCTGCATGATGCACTTCTAAATCTCGAGACACACTCTCCAAAAACCGCAGAACTTTGTTTTCGGCCGGAAGCTGCAAGCTCTGAGGATGATCACCACGCGATTAAAACAATCATTAGCAAAACAAAGTGTTGATACCAGACAACTCCTTTAATTTAGTATATTTTATGTATATTGAGTTAAGCTCATGGCAGTTTAGGTCGAAGTCACACATAAAAACTTACCTTCCCGGTATCATATAAAAAAATCAGAGCACATATAAATGGCCAGACTACTAAAACAATCAAGCGCCAATGAATCTTCAATCCTTCGAGACAAAGTTTCCTTTTAGTGGGCTCCTCCGGAGCATCCGCCATTGTTTATTATTCTTGAAGGAGATTTCAATTATGCAACGTATACATCCCATCCATTACAACTGAAGGCAATTCAGTGTACGCCCTGGAAGGTGTGGATACATTTTTTACGTATTTTTGAATCAAGGCAGGTGGATACCAGTTTTAACGATCACAACTTCGATCACCACGTAATGCCGTTTTCTGGAAAAGTACGCCAAGCGTTAGAAATCAATACAAACTTTCAGAAAGTTCGTTTCAACACCGATCATGGCCAGCTACACACATTTAGAAATTGAATTCATAACACAAATTGTTAGTCATAGTAACATATCGTACACGAAGGGTCGTTTTCACACACACACGCCTAACGAGACATAGGAAAACAAGTTAAAACTCTCTGTTGAGATATGTTCCTTGTCGTCAACCATTCCCCGCATTCCGTTTAATAATTATCTGTTAACTTTCAACGCTGTACAAAATGCTAAAATACTTCTACATAGAAGGCAGTGAATTTAAGACTCTTTGATGAACATATGTTTACTCTCTGAAGAAACACACGAGATTGTAGCGGAATGTCAGTTTGTTTCCATTTGTTGAGGTTAGATTTCCTTTCATCCTCTTCTATATTATTTCATAAGTATACAGGACCTGCGCTAGGTTATTTTGCGTCAGGCAAAATTAGACGTTTGCGCCCCCCCCCAATAATAATAATGTTTAGAATTTTTTTAAAAGTAAAAATATGATTTATTATACGTATATATATATATATATATATATATATATATATATATATATATATATTATATATGTACATAAAGCACAAATCATTTTAAATTACATATTTATGTGTACCACAAATATAATACAAAATGATATTTAGAAGTATAAAAGCAATCGTAATGAGTGTAAGACAAACGATTTACAAAACTTTCAATGAAACATATTAAAATTTAACTTAACGCGCTTTTTGTTTCGCGAATTGTTGCTTAATTCTGCTAGATCAAGTACTGATGCTTCAGCATGTTCGATAGATATAGTAGCTAAGCTAACGAGTCTCTCTTCAGATATTGTGGAGCGTAAAAATGTTTTTATGAGTTTGAGTTTTAAAAAAACTACGTTCTCCACTTGCCACAGTTACTGGCACTATTAAAAGAGTCCTCAGAGCGATGAAGACATTCGGTACATTATCCTGCAAGTTTTTGCTGCAGTATAAATGTAAGCACTTCTTGTGGGAGTAAAGATTTTTGAAGTCTTCAAGGTACTGCCAAAAGTTCGTAGCAAAGGTCTTCACTGATAATATCTTTGTCTTCATTATGTGTTAAAAATTGCTCCAAATTCTTACAGTCTTGAAGTAGCTATTGAGATGTCTTTTGTTTCAAACTATACATGTCATACAGGAACCCAAACATAATAGTATATTGTTTCAGTAATTGAAATCTCTTTTCAACCGACTGTATGGCTGTATCTAAAACAGCACAGTAGAAATCCGAACGGAATTTTTGTTTTGGATCTTGGGGTGTCTCATCTTGGTTTTCATAATCAAAATGACGTTTCTTCCTTCTGCTTCTAACATTTTCTGATTCGAAGTTCGATGGAATCTGTAGATTCTTTGCAATATCCGTAGCATCTTGCAAAATCTCTTCAAACCTCGTCTCACTCCTACAGTCAACATGGTAGTCCTAAGTAGATTCTAACTGCTTTATAGCTGAAGACAAGTCAGAGTCCTTCGATTGCAGTAGCTTACTTATTATGTTGACTTCAAAAATAATGTTGTACCACGTTACAAGAGATACTATAAACTTAAAATTGCTAATAGCATCTGCAAGGCTTTTGGCTTCAATTCGACAAGTATTTCCCGATGATCCTGTTAGGTTTGTGTCATTGTAAATCGACATTAAAGCATCATATATATTTCCAAGCTGATATCTTAGTGGCTTTAAAGCATCGATGCGGCTCTCCCATCTGGTTTGATTCAGCGGTTTGACAGTTCTACCAGAGTCCGGTATTTGACTAATGAATACTTGCCAACGCTTAGTTGATCCGAAAAAAAATTGAAAACCTGTTGAACCAAATAAAAAAAACGAGTTGCTTCCAAGCAACAGCTAGCAGAATCATTGACTACTAATTTTAAAGAATGCACATTGCAAGGTACAAAACATGCCCGTGGATTAACGTTCAAAACTTTCTTTTGTACTTCATTTTCTTTACCTTTCATATTACTACCATTGTCATATCCCTGTCCGCGCAAATTTTCAATTGGTAAT